CGATCAGCTCTAATACTAAAACTACTAGCCCGAAAAATTTCGTTTCGGTATCAAACGAAAGAAGAAACTTTTTGCTATACTATGCAAATCAAAATCCCGGCCCCAGAGTCTCGTCAAGGCGAGACTTTCGTTTCTAAAGACGCTGGGTCGGCGCGGGCGAGTCAGGGTGGAGCGCGTAAGGGAATTCCCGGGCGATCCCGGGCGAGTTAGGGTGTAATGTGTTAAGGTAGATAATGTATACACTAATGTATACATGGAAGTTTGGGCTACTCAAAGTAGATAATGTATACATGGAAGTTTTGGTTGAGATAAAAGTGGGGGAAGGGTGTTTGCCGTCTGTTGGTTAGGCTACCCTACTTGTCTTTGGGAGATTGTTCTACCCTACTTGTCACTGTTCTATTGTTCTACCCTACTTGTCACTGTTCTCTTGTTCTACCCTACTTGTCATTGTTCTACTGTTCTTCCCTACTTGTCACTGTTCTATTGTTCTACCCTACTTGTCACTGTTCTATTGTTCTACCCTACTTGTCACTGTTCTATTGTTCTTCCCTACTTGTCACTGTTCTATTGTTCTACCCTACTTGTCAGTGTTCTATTGTTCTACCCTACTTGTCACTGTTCTATTGTTCTACCCTACTTGTCACTGTTCTATTGTTCTACCCTACTTGTCACTGTTCTATTGTTCTTCCCTACTTGTCACTGTTCTATTGTTCTACCCTACTTGTCTTTGTTCGGGGCTTGGATGCCCGGCTCGCCCCAGCGTTGTGTCCATGGGACAGGCTCTCTGTGCCAAGTTTCCCATGGGGCCGGGTCCTATCAGGGGACTGACAGAAAAGTGGGAGGTCCCCTTTGCTGGATAAGCTGAGAGTATTGCAAAGAATTTATTGAGAGTATTGCAAGGAATATGCCGAGAGTATTGCAAGGAATATGCTGAGAGTATTGCAAGGATCTTGAAGATGTCTCTCTGTAGCATGTACATGTTTTTAGAACCATCCCCGATGTCTGATTGGTCCAGGTGGGTCCACTGATGGGTTGTGTTTTTCTCATGTGCTAAACCAGATTAGGCTTGTCAGGTAGGTTGTGTGGGGGTATGTTGGATGTTGGTGGTAGGTTAAGCCCTGGTTTCACGCAACGATAAATTGTATCAGATTCGTCGTATGAGAGAACTGTTCGTTACATTACCCGACACAACATCCTTACATTACCCGACACAACATCCACTACTTACATTACCCGACACAACATCCTTACATTACCCGACACAACATCCACTACTTGCATTACCTGACACAACATCCACTACTTGCATTACCCGACACAACATCCTTACATTACCCGACACAACATCCTTACATTACCCGACACAACATCCACTACTTACATTACCCGACACAACATCCTTACATTACCCGACACAACATCCTTACATTACCCGACACAACATCCTTACATTACCTGACACAACATCCACTACTTACATTACCCGACACAACATCCTTACATTACCTGACACAACATCCACTACTTATATTACCTGACACAACATCCTTACATTACCTGACACAACATCCACTACTTACATTACCTGACACAACATCCTTACATTACCCGACACAACATCCTTACATCACCTGACACAACATCCACTACTTGTATTACCTGACACAACATCCACTACTTGCATTACCCGACACAACATCCTTACATTACCCGACACAACATCCTTACATTACCCGACACAACATCCTTACATTACCCGACACAACATCCTTACATTACCTGACACAACATCCACTACTTATATTACCTGACACAACATCCTTACATTACCTGACACAACATCCACTACTTACATT